CATGATCAGAGACGACCAGGTACATGTAGAGTACCTCTTTGGGCAAAGGGCTGACCAGCCTCGGCAAGGAATGCAAGTGAACTTTTAATTTCTGGAAGGCGGCCTCAGCATCCGGCCCCCATTCAAACCTTGCCTTTTTCTTAATTGCCTGGAAAAAGTATAGGCATTTGTTGCCTGATCGGCTTAGAAATCTTCCCAAGGCCGCCAGACAACCTGTTAACTTCTGAACCTCTCGGATGGTACGAGGCGACTGCATGTCAATGACCGCCTGCACCTTCTCAGGGTCCGCCTCTATTCCTCTCTGATTGATAAGGAATCCGAGAAATTTCCCAGACTCAACTCCAAATACACATTTCTTGGGATTGAGCATGACATGGTGCCGCCTGAGTGTGGCGAAAGTTTCTCGGAGGTCCGACAGATGATCTTTCTGAAGTTTAGTCTTGACAATCATATCATCAATGTATGCCTCGACGTTTCTCCCAATCTGATCAAAGAACACAGTGTTTATCATTCGTTGGAAGGTAGCCGGGGCATTCTTAAGACCAAACGGCATGACCGTGTAACAGTATAACCCCTGATCAGTGACGAAGGCCGTCTTCTCCTGATCTTTCTTCCATAAAGGAATTTGATGGAAACCAGAATAGGCGTCCATAAAACTCATCAAGGCATGGTCGGCTGTTGAGTCAACCAGGTTATCAATTTTAGGCAGAGGGTAACTGTCTTTGGGGCACGCCTTGTTTAAGTCTGTGTAGTCTACACACATTCGCCAGGTGCCATTCGGCTTTTTAACAAGCACCACATTTGCAACCCAGTCTGGGAAGTAACATTGCCGAATGAACCCTGCATCAAGTAATTTTTTAACTTCGGCGGCTGCCGCCTGACTTCTTTCTTCGCCATGGTTCCGCTTCTTTTGCCGTACCGGCTTCTTTTTCGGATCCACGGCCAGTTTATGTACCGCCAGATCAGGACTAATGCCTGGCATTTCATGGACTTCGAATGCAAAGATGTCCTTGTATTCTTTCAATAGTTTATGAAAGTTGTCACCAAGGTTTCTCATAGCAGTCGTCCCAACTTTGACTGTTCGGTCAGGACGTGAGTCGTCTAAGATCAGGTCTGCATGCTCACCAGCCGGCTGAGGGCGGAACTCATCCGGCCGCTCCTCTGCCAATGATTGCTATTTTCTTTCTTTTCTTGCGGCCCCTGTCTGGGATGCCTTTCTCTTTTTGCCGCCTGCTTCTTGAACAGGCGCACTCTCCTTGTCAAGGTCTGTTTTTTCACCGCTTGACCCAGTAGCCATAACAGTGGGCTTGACATCCAAGAGATAGCACTCTCGGGCCATCCTCTGATCTCCCCTTAGGGAGCCGACTGTTCCATTATCCCTCTCAAACTTGAGCAACATAAGAGATGGGATTATAACAGCCTTGGAATTATTCAGGGTAGGTCGACCCAGAATCATGTTGTAGGCCGAGAGTTCCTCAACTACCAGGAACCGGACTACCATGTGTCGTCCTTCCCCTTTTTTGCCCAAGCGGATGGGTAAATCTACTCGTCCCAATGGGTGGACGACTCCTCCTCCAAACCCTACTAAAGGGTGGGAGGCCGGATGTATGCAATCAGTCTGATATTTTAGTTTCGACAGACATTTGCTACTGATGAGATCTGAGGAGCTTCCGGTATCTATGAGGATTCGGCCAACTCTCTGGTTGGCCACTTTACATTCAATAACGAGAGGGTCGTCATGCGGCCCCCTTACCCCTCCTAGATCTTCTTCAGTGATGACAATCTCAGGAAATGAATATTTGGACGGCCGTTCTTGGTGAACGGAATTTACATCTAACCGCCTGATATTGTCTTTGTTGCCCCTAATAGTGGGGCCGCCTCCTGAGAAGCCGCCTGCAATGGTGTAGACGACTGCATCATCTGTATCAGAGCTGTCGGCCTGCTGATTCTTTTTGGCCGACTGCTTTTTTGAGGAAGTGTTCCCCGTAGATTTCTTGACATAAGTGTCAAGATCACCTTGCTCAGCCAGGCGGTCTAGGTACCGCATGAGACTGATGCAGTCATTGGTGTGATGACCAACATCATCATGATAAGCACAGAATTTATCTTGGTTCCGGTTGTTTGCAGAACCCTTCATGGGGACCGGCTTCTCAATTGAGATCCGTCCCTTGATTTCTTTTAGGATAAACTGGTTATCCTTGTTAAACGCATACTTTGGGGAGTATGGTTTGAATTCTTTTTTCTTTTTCTGGGCCGGCTGTTTAGAGGAATCAGCCGCCCAGACCTCTTTTCTTTTCTCATCTTTGTTTGACGACTGTTTCTGTCGTCCTTCACTTTTGTCGAACCTTTTCCCGTCCGACTGTTTTATCGTACAAAGATCAGTCGCCTGTATATAGGCTTCTGCTTCAATCAAGGCCTCTTGAAGAGTCGCCACCCTTTTTCGAACCAAATCAAATTTGAAGGTAGACCCGTCTTTGAGACCTCTGAAAAAGTCAGTATAAGCTACCTCATCCGGTAACCCTTGAATCTGTATTCTCATCAGGTTAAACCGCCTGATGTAAGAACGAAGCCCCTCCTTCTCGCCCTGCTGAATTGTTCCCAAATCAAGGGTCGTTTTCTTCGCAGGGATGTTCATGGCGAAGTTGGAGGTAAATAAGTAAGCAAGCGTCCTGAAGCTATTTACACAACCAGTCGGCAGGTTGCAGAACCATTGCTGTGCGATTCCTTTGAGAGTCGCTGGGAAACACTTGCACCAAGTGGGATCATCCAACCCTTGAAGGTACATCAGGTTGGTGAATGCCATCAGATGGTCTTCTGGGTTAGTAGTGCCGTCATAGGCACCTACTAGTACATTTTTCACTTTGGCCGGCTGAGCGGCTTCAGTAATTTCCTTGGAGAAGGCCGACGGCTGTTCACCAAGTCTAAGCAACCGTAGCTGCCAGTCCATAGGTTGGACGTTTTTTGCTGCAGGTCCACCAAACGGAGGTGGCTGCAAAAAATACTGTTGTTGCGGCACAAATGGTAAGTTTGGTACCGCCTGGTCACTATGAAAGCCGGACTGACGGGAGGTGCCGCCTGACTGACTCTCATGGTACGACTGAGTATGCCTCATCGAGGCATTTTGCAAACTGTCTTGAAAGTTTGAAGTAGAGGCCGACTCTGACAATCGGTCACTCTTCTTCTGCTCTAGCAGTAGCCGAGCATCTGTGAATGTTTGCTTCGACCCGTCCGCCTGAATATGACGAACAGGTTTCCTATTTCCTGTAGGATAACGGAATTTTGTGAAATCAAGGGCAGGTGGCTCCCGCTTCCTAGATTTAGGATGAGGAGTCGCCTCTCGCCCTTGAACTGGCTTCCTCTTCAGTGAAGTGGAGGGTTTCTTGGCCGACTGCTCCTTGACTGGAGCAGGCGGCTTCTTGTTGATCAACTCTTGAATCTCTCCCTTGAAGTCCGTCATGAGTTCGTTCCTTGTGATGGGAGCAGACCCATCAGTCGGCTGTTGCCGAACAGGCGGTGCGCCTGCTGGCTCGCGTCCTGTTTGAAGATTCCCCCGTTCCCTCCTGTCGGTATGACGGGTACGTCGGGCCCTTAGGGTCCCGTCTGAAGCTGTATGAGCTTCAACTTCAAATTCACTTTCGGTATCATGGTCCGACTGAACTTGAGGGTCGTCTAGGGGACGCCTCTCTTCAGGAGTCGGTACAGACTTGGATGCCATCTCAGAAGTACTCTCCCCACAGACGGCGCCAAATGTTTCGGGGTTTTCTGATGTCCTGCGGGAGAGTTACAATTCCGAGACTGGAACCGGACGCCTGTACCTGCAAAATAACGGAGACTTCTGGGAGCTCCGCCTCCAACGGTCAAGTTAGTACCTGATTAAGGAGTAATTAATGCGGAAATTAAAGTGATTTGGTCTCTCTAGGTGAGAGTGTTTAATGTAGGTAATCTGCTTTGTTAGCGAGATCAACCGGTTATTACTGTGTGTAATTAATGTGTTTTTTCCGCAATGTTTCTGTTCTCCTCCTTAATGAGGATTAAGGGAGGTATTTATAACCTTGGAAAACGTGCCCATCCTAGGTTTAGGTAAACCTAGGGCCGATTGGGCTTCCCTCGGAAGTTGGGCCTGGGTGGCCGGTTTCTCCATTAGGCATGGAGTATGCCACATGTCTTGACATAACAGGTCCAAGGTGGACGAATAAGCGCGTGCCACGTGGGAAGCCCTGACTGTTCCAACTGGGGGACACTTGGCAGGACCTGATTGGTCCACGTGGCGCATTCCGATTGGTGGGAGAAAAATCCCCTAATCAGTTAGTATATTTGATTACCAATACTTGAAAACTATAAATTTTAGATATTAAATTTGTACAAATCGAGACGAATTTAACAAGATCTTATATGACTATATTTTTACTTATGTATAAATCGTCAAATCTAGTCAAAGTGAAACACATGAATAGTGTAAAAGTCAAACTATTGCAACTATAAAAAAAAAGGAGGAAGTATAAAAGTCAAAATATATTGAAAGTATAGACTTAATACGTAGTATTTAAATAGAGATTAATTTATATAATATATATAGTGTTGTTTAAATTTAGTTATTTTAAAAAAAATGTTCGAGGGGAAAAACAACACTAGAAAGTGACAAGTGTCATTTCTGGTGTTTGTTTTACTATTATGTTATTGATTGATTAGTTGATTATTGATGATTCAAGAGTATTTTGTGAAAAAAACTGTAATGTACTTCGTTTACAACTTTAGTTTAACCAAAATATTTAAGATTAAGGGTTTGTTCTCATTGACTGAAGTGAGCTGAACTAAACTAAATTAAATTAAAGTGAGCTGAGCTAAACTGAACTGAACTGAACCGAGCTAAACTGAACTAAACTAAACTAAGCTGAATATTTTATAAGAGAAGGAAATTAGGAGCTGAATTAAAATGAACTAAAAATGAGAAAAGACCCTAAAATGTTAGTCATAATAGTTAGGAAATTCCCAAAAATTGTGCGTTGAAGGTGCGCTGTCTTCTTCTGTCCATTTTCTCTGTCATCCCCAACTCAACTCGTTTAGAAGAAAAAAAGGCAGAATTCCTTTCTTCTTCTTTTTCTTCCTAAAATTTATTTTCTTTCTTTTTAGATTTTTTTAAAAATTTTACAACCTTCAATTCAATTACTCTTTCAACCCCCTTTTTTCTCTCTCATACCTTCAGCATTCAGATCTGACCAAACATCGCACTTGACGTTCTTCATTGAAGCAGCTTCTGAGGTAAGTTGTTATTTCCTTTTGTAATCATCATTTCAATTTCATAATCTAGGGTTTATCTTTGATCTAATTCAATTCAATTCAATTTTCAGTGCACTAAGTTTAGGATTCGAAAATCTCAACTATTGATTGGTTTTAAATACTAAGATTATGAAAGATACGATTCTGTTGCTAGAAATTTGATAATTGAATCACATATCCCTAAAATTATGTGAATTTTCGAGCTTTATTTGATAATTGAATCAAATTTGATTGCTAATGTATTGCAAAATCCTTTAATGTTAGGATTCAACTATGAAATTAGATGCCCTGGCCTGTTTTGTTAGCTTATAGGAGTTTATGATTGGGATTTAGTTCTTTGTCAATGTTGATGATGTTCTTAAAAGTTTTCGAGTTACAAAGGAAATACAACATGGTTAAGCTGAGGTTATGTCATAAATGCTAGTTATCCAATACTATTATACAAAGACTTGAAGGGTTATGCTGTTTTAGTTCGAGGGTATTAATTTTAATGTCTTGTCTTGTATCGAATCATTGCTTTGAAATGGCAATCTGATGAACTGCGTTTATATGTTGCGTGATCGGTTTTTTTTTTTTTTTTATTTATCAAACTGTATTTTCGATGTGCAGTGCCTATTGAAGGGGAGAGAGTTGGAGGATGTCGATGAAGAAGGCATTTGGCCAAACCATTCGAGACTTGTAAGTTGTTTTGTTACCTGGTTACCAGACGTCCTAAAAGTGTGCATTACCAATTGCTAGTTGGTGTGTCGAACATTGTTTTTGAGTCTCAGCTATGTTCTACATGCCAACAATTGGGGAATATGCTGATATGTTTTATAATTATTTTAAATTTCATGTTGGGCATGCTAAATAATCAGATACTTTTGTTTGCCTTGGCAGAAAAAGGGAGGTCAACAAGAAAGTTCTTAAAGTCCCTTCAATAGAGCAGAAGGTAAACCCTCTCGAAGTTTGATTGAGATTATATCATAAATACATAATAATCTTGCTTGCTAAATCTCAGTCCTTTCGATTTCTATGGATTTCTTACCGATACTGGTGTTGCTAATTCAGCTCTTTGGTTCTCTGAAAGTTTTTGTATGTATATTCAACTTTGATAACATTTGGATGGGTTTATGACTTCTACAGGTTCTTGATGCAACTAGCAATGAGCCCTGGGGTCCTCATGGGTCACTTCTTGCAGACATTGCACTGGCTACAAGAAATTAGTAAGTCACATTGACTGCCAAATAAATCCCTCTATTTTCTTTTTTGATGTCTTAGTTTGAAAAATGCTAATTTTGTAAAATTTTCACACTTATGCAGTCATGAATACCAAATGATCATGACAGTATTATGGAGGAGGTTGAATGATACTGGAAAGAACTGGCGGCATGTTTATAAGGTGTGGGAATTTAACAATACAAACTTTCTTGATATGTACTTCCCTGTTATTTTTAGTTGTTACACTTTTTACTTTTTGCAGTTGGACCATATTTGGTGATTTACATGCAAGAAAAAAAAGAGGCTTGTGGTATCTTTATGAATTCTTCTCAATGTATATAACAAAAATATTCACTTATAACTTTACTTATAGATAATTGAAACTCTATGTATTAATTATTCGAGTTGTACATTGGCAAGTGTGAAAATCAAGTAGTGTAGATTAAAAAAAAAAACTGGAGAGAGTGTTGGGCTGTGTGTTACCGTTGATTGTTTAGGCAATTGAGTACTTGAAATTCGCATTTTGAGTTATGAGACTTATGACTCACCTTCTCTGCAACTATTATTGTTTGTAGTTTGTTACCAGAGTTTGGATTACCTCATTATAAAGAGAAGAAGATGACATGTAAGGGTTGAGGGATTTGAAACAATGGTTGTGACCTTTATAAACTTAAATTCTTAGCCCAGAGGCAGGGGGATGGGGTGGGAGTGGGAGTTGTGTCTATATTTCAGTTCTGTAAAATAGCTGATTGTATTGTACTAGGGAAAGTGGGTAATGGAGATGAGAGTGCTATGGGCCTATGGCTTAGTATGCTAGTTTCTTTCTCAATAAACAGGGTTTGATTGTCCTATTCAATTTATTAGTATTGCTGTGGTACTGGTTCTTGCTGAAGATAAAAATGCTGAATATGAAAGATTAAAGACAATTCTAATCTTTCTATTGCTGCTTGATCGAAGTTTTGTTGATATGTATGGCATTGATGATTTCATTTCAGGCTTTGACAGTTTTGGAGTACTTGGTGGCACATGGGTCTGAGCGTGTTATAGATGAAATAAGAGAACATGCTTACCAAATATCAGTAAACATTCAATCTTCAAGTCTTACTTTTGATATCCACTTTTTAATCGTTCCATTGTTATTACTACTAGAGGGCCCCTCTTCACTTGTGTGTGATTCTCTAAACCATTTCTCTGTAGACATTGTCCGACTTTCAATATATTGACTCCAGTGGGAGGGATCAAGGAAACAATGTGCGAAGGAAATCTCAGAGCCTTGTGCAATTAGTTAATGACAAAGAAAGGATAATAGAAGTTCGGCAAAAGGCTGCTTCTAATAGGGATAAGTGAGTTATATTTTCAGTTGTCATTTAATGTTGCCATGTAGCAATTTCTACTCGTGGATGTAGCTTCATGGTCTACTGTGCTGAGTCTGCTCCTAATACTTCTTTCATAAATTTCATTTTTTGTATGGCCTTTGATGCTTGATATTTTTGCTGCTTTGTGCTACCTCTTGAATGGGTCTTTTTATTTATTTTTTAATTATAAATTATTATTATTATTGTTAATGGAATTTTGCTCTATTTAGCATAGTTTTTGGAGGATTGAAATGAGGAAGCCCCAGTTAATCAATTTGATAAACAAAATTTGTTTATCAAATGGCAAAATGGTAAATAAAACAACATAAATACCTAGTCATCATGGCATTTTCGTATTATATCAACAACAGTGGGACCCATATTTAATAAAAAGTTGTTGATTTATTTACAATTATACCATTTGATAAACAAATTTTGTTTATCATATTGATAAACTTGAATTTTCTCGTTTGAAATTGTAGTCTTTCAAAATCTTGCAATGAGCCAATGATAAAACCATGCGATTTTGGAATCATGCTAAAGAAAATATTGAGAAATTTTATTCTACTGTATATTTTACCTAAGTGTACAGATGATGCTTCTTTGCCAAACATTAACTAAATTAAGTGGTATCTGAATGTGGAAAAATCTCTAAAGTTAAATTTGCCTTGGAAGACATGCTCTTGTGGTTCCAAGTTTTCTTTGTTAGTTATTCTTAAGTAGGAGTAAGCACCTAATACAGACATGTGAAATAAGTCTCAACTTCCTTATGACAATTTGAGGCTGGTAGTTATTGATTTGAGCTGAGAACAAAAATTATCTCTGTTGGATACATTAATGATCAACACTTGCTTTTCCTTTTTTATCTAAGAATCTCTTGTTGAATAGTTATCTGGTGTTTTTTTGTTCAAACATATTTCATAAGGTAGCTTATTTGTTGATAAATGAAAAACCTTATACTAAATTTTATCAGATCAAGTTGTTGAGATATTTTTACTACAGGCCAATAGTGTCGGGGCTTTACTGTGTTCATGCTGTCTCATGATGTTTGTGTGAAACCCTCCCCTCCATCACCCCTGTATTCTTCCGATTCTTGTATTGTTTCAACTCCCTTGGAGGCTTGGATTTGTTTCGATGAAAATTGTTGCCAGGCACTTAAAACTGTACAAATCTGAAGTACCCACCACTCTCACCTTAACTACAACATTTCTCCTCATCCACATCCAATTAATATTTCTATGTTTTGTTTACTAGACTTCCTTTTTGTATTTGGTTAATGTAAACTGTTCACTGTGAAATTCCATATACTGAGATATGGATTGGTTGATGAATAATATATATTCAGTATATTATACATTCGCTCTTTCCCTTATCAGTAGATCCAGGTGGAAAATTAATTTCTTGTGGTTAAAATGACATGCATAGATCTGTACAATTAAATTCTTGTGCATGTATGATCTCGCCCACAATTTGGTGGAAAATTGGTTTGTTCTAAAACATGTGGTGAATTTGTTGCTTAGCTGTTTTTGAGCAATTCAGTATGTTTTTCTAAAGCTAAATTGGCTTGTTAACAGGTTTCGCAGTACATCTGCAGTGGGTGGAATGTATCGACCTGGTTCAGATGGATACGGCGATGATCGGTATGAAGGCCAGGATGAACGCAATGGTTATGGAAGGGAGAGAGAATGGGGCTCTAGAGATGATGAAAGGTATGGGCGGTATGGGGATTCATATAGTAGAGAGGGAGATCGTTATGGTAGAGACTCTGAAGAAAATTATGGGAGAGAGAGGTATGGGGATGATGAATCCAGAGGAAGAGCTCGAAGTGATGATGACTACCAGTATGGCTCAAGGGGTAGGAGTTCTGACAGAGATGGAGATCGTGCTTACGATGATGAGGATCGTCATTCAGCTCGGTATGTTTATATGTATAATTATATGGTAGCAATATGAAGTATCCTGTTGAAGTTATTAAGTAAATTCTTGCCCTGCTGCAGAGGAAGTACTGGCAAAGCAGAAGATCATAACGATGGAAGGTATATAGTTGCCTTTTCAGTTCTATTGTGAATCAGTATTACTTTCATACTTTGTAATTTTTATTGACTCTTTTTCTTCAACTTCTAATGCTATGAGCCTATGAAATCAGTACTATAATTTTTCCCTAATTTGATCCTTTTGGTGCCTTTTCACCCTCCCTTGGTTTGTGGGTGCATTGGTTTGTTCTGCAGGCCAATTGAGCGCAAGTTTTCTGAACAAAATATTGGTGCTCCTCCAAGCTATGAAGAAGCTGTGGGGGTTACTAGAAGTCCTACTTACAATGACAGGTATTATCGGCCACAACTTTTGGTTTTGGTGCAACATGTACATAATCATTTTGTAGTTACCAATTTCATTTTTTTTACTCTACTTCTTGTAGGGATGAAGAAGCACCAGCTGCATCAACCCATCAATCATCTCCTCCCACTGTAAATGCTACTCAGTCGTCATCCCCAGTTGCTAATGCTGCCCCTCAATCATCATCTCCTGCTAATAATGTTAATCCAAGTCAAATAAATCCTGAGAATGGTGTTCAATCTCATCATAATATGGAAGCTGATACTTTTGATGAATTTGACCCCCGTGGTTCTATTTCAGGTGCGTAACAGTTAACAATTGCAATGTGGTCGATACTTTGCTCTTATATTCCGATATATCTGTTAGTGCGAATGCTATTGCCCTTGTAACAATTCATTCCCTTTTTCCCTCAGTGATGCAAAATTTACAATATTTTGCGATCCCTGAAAATGGCTAAATATCACTGGTGCATAAACAAAATGCATGTGAACAAAATGCCGTGATTTAATGGAATATAGTGCAGCAATTTACCCTATCATCAAAGTTTATATAGCAGTTTTTGATAAAAGAAGCATAAGTTGGCTCTGCTGTATGTGTTGAATGTCCTGCATGTAGTAATTGCTATATGGAGTTCTCGTGCTCGTAAACTTCCCATTTTACATCAGCCAAAGTCCACTTATATCCACAATCATTGTAATTGATTGATCTAAGAATAATTATTATGCAGAGTTTGATATATTCTTTTCTATTTTTACAAACAGCTGCACCAACTACATCGAACACTGTTGAAATGGACTTGTTTGGGTCTCTTTCAGATGCATTTGCACCAAGTCCATTAGCTATCATGCCAGCTCCATCAGATGTTTCAGACTTTCAATCTGGTTCTGGGAACACTGCTTCGAACCCCTCGTTTATTGCACCTTCGGGGACTAATGTTCCTAACCAGGTAGAGAATTGACTAGAGATTAATATTTCTACAGGACCTACACATCTAGCTTTATAGAAAGGAAGCTAAGCAGCATTGTTTTCAATTGAAATTTGATATGTGCACACCTTTTAGTCAGTGATGTGTGTGATTGAATATCAATTTCACAGTATATCTTATACTACCTCCGTTTCTTTTTAGTTGACACGTATTTCTTTTTAGGAAGTTTTTTTTAGTTGACACGTTTCCTTTTGGGGTAACTGTTTTACCTTGCATTTACAAGCTACCCCACTTGCTTTTTCATTCTCTTTCACTCTCTCTCCTCTCCTTAATATATGTGCCTAAATCAAACGCGACAACTAAATAGAAACGGAGAAGTATATATCATAAACTTTTTCATTCTGAGAAATGGTTCTTGTAAATTTTCTCTTTTTTATTACACTCAACTTCAACCTTTCTGTTTTGGGTTGTCCCAAAAAGAACTTTTTGCTTCACTTTTTTTTTTTTCTCTGTCCCATCAACCTATATTATCTCTTGGATTAAGTTCTCTATGTTTTTCTTTTTCGATACCCTTCAAATTCTTACTACATATAACAACTATGTAATGATCATCAAATTTTAGTCGATTGATTGTATCAAAATTTAACATTAGTACTATGATGACAGTCTTTTGAAGATCCATTTGGCGATTCACCTTTCAAGGCCATCCCGTCAGCTGAGGCACCAACTCAATTCCAGAATTTTGCATCCCCGTCACCATTTCAGCCTGCTGTGAATCCTTCAGAGCATCCACATCCTGCAGCTCAGAAGGTGGAGACCCCTAATCTGGAGTTTGCAGACACTTTCTCAGGCTTAGCTTTTGATCCGTCTACTGTTACCAATGTACAAACTCCACCAAATCAACAATTTTTGGCTCAAGAGCCACAATCCATGCACGATAACGATATACTTGCTGGCATTTTACCTCCTTCTGGACCTCTTCCCCCACCGGCTTCTGTTGGATCTTATCCCACTTCATCAGGTATGCATCCTGCAACTGCTTCACAAGCAGCTTTTCCTCCAACTTCTCACTATTCAGCAGGAACTGGTTTCATGACCCAAGCTGGACCATTTTCCCAAGTCCCTGCTCAGAACTCGGGTGTGCCACCCAGCCATCATTACTCACATCCCTATCCTGCTCCTCCCACTGCTATGAGTTCAAATTTGGCACCTCAGACACCAGCTGGAGCATTAAGTCATAATAATAATAATAATAATAATTTCATGGGCGATTTTCTTCCACAATCTGGTGCAAACATTTCCTCATCTTCACAGTCAGCTCCCTCAAGTTCTGCAAATGCTTTGGCTCTTGTTCCCCAACAACCTGCTAAGAAGTTTGAGCCTAAGTCAGCTGTATGGGCCGATACATTGAGCAAAGGTTTAGTTAACCTGAACATTTCTGGACGTAAGTATATTGTTCATGCACTTCAGTTTTTACATTTATTATTTCATCTATATGTATTTTTTCCAAGTACTGAAAATATCTGCCTTATGTTGCAGCAAGTATCAATCCATTGTCAGACATAGGTATTGATTTTGAATCCCTTAACCGCAAGGAAAAGAGGATGGAAAAACCTAGTGCAACTCCAGCAACTTCCAATGTCACTATGGGCAAGGCCATGGGATCTGGTTCTGGAATGGGTCGTGCTGGTGGGGGTGGGTTGAGGCCTTCTCCAAACCCAATGATGGGTCCTGGCATGGGTGTTGGACCTGGTGCTGGTATGGGTGGTGGACCTGGTGTTGGCATGGGTATGGGAAGTTACGGGTCTATAAATCAACAACCAATGGGCATGGGTGGCGTGGGTATGGGAGCGGGAATGAACATGGGTATGGGGCAAGGAATGCAACAACCCAATGGTTTAGCCCCTGGATCAAACATGAACAATTATAATCCCATGATGGGAAGAGGTGGTTACCCACAGCAACCATATGGTGGTGCATATCGATGATTGTGGTCTTCCCTATGTATATCTGCATTTCTGAAGTAATTGAGTAGTCTGGTGATACATGTAGTACCTGTAACAATAGCTGGTAAGCAAGCATATATAGACATGAGAATTCTTTATTCCTATCTCCATAGATGACCTCATTCGACGCTGGCAACGACTGTACTCAGTTCCCTGTTCCCAGTGATGGTATCAAGGATTCCCCTTTTTCATACACGATTCGAATACAGAGGGAAGTAAAATTCTGTTTGATTGAGTTTTGTTATTATTATTTTTTTTTTGTATGATGAGAGTTAGCCTACCTCAGGCTTCACAATATTTGTTATATTCTTGGATCACATAAGAATTGAGATGTGGTTTGTCCGTCAGACAATAAAAGTATTAATGAAGAGAATTATTTCATTTGCACATTATTTGAATGGGGAATTTGCCTGAACTGGGTTTGTCCGTCATAATAATGCTAATTTTTTGCATAAGTGCCACAACACTTGGCAAAGTTAACTTGGGTCAAGTGTAGTTGTCTCGTAATCTGGTTGCATGCCCCGACTTTATTTATTAATAGACCTGGCAATCTTGACCTAGACTTGATAGATCCGACCTGAATGGCCTGATCTGTGACCTGAAATTGACCCAAAAACATTGACTCAAAATTGATCTGAAACCATGAAATCGACTCACTCGAAAATGGAGTTGACTCGAAACTCGAAATGACACGACCCTCAATTGATCTAACCAAAGTTAACTCGAAGTGTTTAGGGGTGTCCATTATTCAAATAAAAATCAAAATCCAATCCAATCCAACCCAAATTATTAATTCGGATTGGATCCAAATTTTAAATCGAATCAGATCGGACTGAAATTTTTTAAAAATTGGGATTTTCGAATCGGAACTGATTTGACCTTATTTGGATCCAAAAAACCGAATTAACTGAAATATGAAACTATGCTTTTACAAATAAGGATATTTTATATTAATCATATAAATTATGTTGATAATTACATTAAAATAAATTATGTAAAATTATGTTTTAAATCTTTGTATTAATCATGTACAATTATGTATTTAAGACCAAGGTTTCTATAATCACATTAGTCCCTAAAAATCTGCAATGTATTATAATTCGGATTTTTGAATCTGATCCAAATAATCAAATTTTAATTCGGATTAGGTCGGATTAGGTTCATGAGAAATTCGGATTAGATTGAATTTAAAAATCAAAAACTTAATTATGCTTCAGATCGGGTTGGATTTGGCCTAAATACAAATCGAAAACCGGATATGTACCTTTGGCAGTGTTTGACCCGAACAAACCTGATACTCGAAATGTCCTAAACTAAAATTACCTTACAATTGAATTAAAATAACGACTCAAATTGTTCATCTCTAACTGTAGCCAAGCTCATAAAATAAGGGTTTGTTCACATTTTACTGAACTGAGCTGAACTGAACTAATTGGATCTGAGCTGAACTGAACTGAACTGAACTTAATAGAGTTGAAATGAGTATTTTATTAGAGAAGGAAATTAGGAGGTGAACTGAAGTGAATTGATTGGAGCTGAACTGAACTGATTAGAGCTGAAATAAATTGAAATTAAGCTGAGGTGAACAGAGCCTAAATTGATAGTTCTTATTATAATGATAATAAAATATAAAATTATTGATTTGAACTTTTTTCACAAAGGGAGTAACCCGAACATGACCCGACCTAAATATGACCCGAACATACTCGATCTGAAAATGGTAAGATCCGATCCGGAGATGACCCAACTCGACACCTAACCTGAGTCATACCTGAAACCCGAATTGGCCTGACCTAACATGTATATATGTTAGTTGACTCGAATTGATCCGATTAGACTTGATCCGAATGACTCGTTTGCCAGGTCTATTTATTAATAATATGATATTATATTACTTCCTAGTATATATATATAATTCATAGATGTGGTTTTTTTAATTTGGGTGCTTATTCACCAATGGGATTACTTCTGTCCCAAAAATTTTCTCCATAAGAAGAATTTTTTTGCTATTGGGAGAGCTCTGAGTGAAGTCCAATAGCCTCCAAACGTACCCCTTTGAATATTAGTGATTTGGTGAGCTTCAATAGAATTCCAATTCATTTGGACTAACAATAATAAGAACAGCAAAAATCATCATTTTTTTTACAGTACTTTCGGTTGGACATCTGTACCATAACCTTTCCATCTCATTCTAAAATCATGTAAATTGTGAATGACACTTAATAAGTACATAAGTTTAATCTACGTTAACAATTTTAATGCAGCGTAAACAATTTTAATGCAGCGTAGTGGCAACATATTTATATTTTGTAGGAGTGTAGGACTCTAAAAAATATGAGCCCTTTTTCCAAATAATATTGGGAAAACACGCAATTCTCAAAATACGGTCGATTTTTTTTTTTTAATTCCCACCGTATCGTCCACATCAGCTAAGGAAAATAAACTGGTTTTTATTTTCTCGGTCCAGCAACAAAAGTAGCGGTGTTAATTTCATACACCGCTACTTGAAGTGGCGGTTTCCCTCAAAACACCGCTACTTGAAGTAGCGGTTATAATTTTGTTGAATTATTTTACAAGGGAAAAGGGGAAAGTGATTTTGTTAAAAAAATACTTAGTAAATACAAACCGCCACTTCAAGTAGCAGTTTCTAATAAGTAAACCGCTATTTGAAGTAGCGGCTTTTAGTAGCACACCACTACTTGAAGTAACGGTTTTTTTAATGAACCCGTTTCGAAAAAAATTCCCACTAAACCGGTGACATGGACGGTACGGTAAGAATTTAAAAAAGATTAGCTGTAATTTGGGAATTAGATAATTTCTTGATATTATTTAGGAAAAGGGCTCCAAAAATATACTCAAATCACATGCTTTCACTTTTTTAATCTTTAACTAGCATAGTGCCCGTGCGATGCACGGTTTATAAATCAAATTATTAAACCCGTAGGAAAATTAAAAATAAAAACAAAGGTAATTCATTTACTGTTAAAGGACTTGGTTCCTAGTGGTCAATTACAAAAAAAAAAAATTAAAGGAACGTTATTTGAATAGTATTTTATGTTATTTGAATATCTTTTAATTTTTTATAATGTTATTTTATTAATTGAAAAATAATTGAATAATACTCCACATAGCTATATAAGAAGTGGGCTAATTTATTTATATCTCCCGTTGAGAAAAAACTAAAATTTTCTTATCATACCATCTGTATCAGTAGCTACAATCAATCTAATATATACATGTTTTATTTACTCGTCGCACTCATTAAATCTATAGACACAATAATAACCTTATATTTGACCTACCAGAACATATATTTTCCTAAGTTAAGCATTGTGCCAAAAACTATATATTATATAATAGTCATATATATAACCAACAACTGATTAAATATAGTATACAATACAAATACTTCGTATATAGGTATGGATACAGATAATTTTATATAAATAAAATATACGGGGTATATATTACTAAGATTTATCCATACCTTAATTATAAAATGGTTAACAAAACTCTTATAATAGTGCATGGACATTTATGTATCTAAAAATGTTCTTTTTACATATATTTTCCTCCATTTAATTTTAAAAGCCTTAAAATTGTCTCTTGAATTCGCTAAATTGATTTAAAAGGTTATGTTTATTTCAATATTTAAAGCCATTTACTATTTTCATTTCCTTTTGTTTTAATTTTTCTATTTAGAATTTATTAGACTATTAGGTTTCAAGATCGAAGTCAATATCTTTTTACCGTACAATCACTAAATCAAAATCGCTCAACTAAAGTTTTGGACATTGCATAGCTACACAACATCCAACGCATTTAATGATTACATGCAAATAATTTTAATAAAACTACGCATTCGATATAAGCTATTAAGCAATTTAACTATATATACATTTTGATAGGTTTATATCTTTCATATTAACAAAAATTAACAAATGTTATTATTATATTTTGAAAAAGAATTTTGACTTTGGAGTTTTGTATAAGATAGATAAAGGATAAGTTAATTCCCGTCATATATGCATTGAGTTTTGGGTGTTTTATCCGGTTCACCCTTTGGGCTAATCCAGATTTGAGGATCTGTTCTAGGCTATTAGGTTCCACTCCCCTTCCGATTGTTGTTGCAGGGGAGCGAACACAGGTCCTCCCTACCAAGTGTAGTCTCAATCACCACAACACCAACAACCAAACGCTTGGTATGGAGGACACGTGTTAAAAAATATTATATTATATACATATACTTTTTTATATTATAAAAATATTATATTATATACACATACTATTATAGTTAAAAGTATTATTATGTATAAAAAAAACATAAATTATTGCACATGATTGTTGTATATCTATTATAGTACATGAGCAATGCACGATTTTTAAATCAAAATGATAGTTTTTCTATAAAAAATTCATAAGTAATAGCATTGTTAATACGAATATTACAATTTAAAACACGAGTAATAGTTATAATACATTTTATATCTATCCTTTTTTCGTCAAATGTCTAATTCAATTTAACTTTTATTCTTCTTTTTTAGATTGGTTATTGGTTAATTTTTTTTTTAATGCAAGAAAAACAAAAGGTCATTGTAAAAGACATTGTATAGAAAATGAAAGGCCGATTAAAATTAAATTTTTATTCAAGATTATGTATTTTTTTCCAAGACAACATTTTGGCTCAACATTCATTATTTGTCAAGGAGTACAACAAACGATAAAATTATTTTTACACTACTTTGTATCTTTATCAAAAACTTTTGTATTCAACCGATTACTTGAATTGAATTTAGGATAACTTGTAGACTATTTTGGGTAACTTTTATCAATAAAGCATAAATAACTTTCATTCATTACAGGGTAGCTTTTATAATAGGTGCACAATATTTTATTGTACATCTATTTTTTTTTAAATGTTTGTATTGATTTCATAATTGACGTCAAACTAAATTTTATCGATTTTATTTAATTTTCATAAAAAAAAACAATATTAGCCTTTTAAAATACGAAATATTTGTTTCCTTAATTATGTCACTTTAATCATATTGCTTCAAATTAGTTATTATTCTTTAACTTGACTATAAATAAAGATTGGAAAGGCTTTATAGATTATTTGTAGTTTTGAAAAGTATATATTTATTATAAAAAAATTAAATCAATATTTATATTAGGAAATCATGAAAATCTTATACATGTATAGAAACTTGCTTTTATTGTTTGAAGTTTAACAAAAATAACTATACTTGAATATGTAAACAGTAATTATATAGATATATTTTATACTTAAGATAAGCCAATGAGAGAGTGACATTTGTCATCCTCACATTGAGGCGCTTGTCTTTTAGTATAATATATAGATAGATTGATTAAAAGTGTATTTCCTTAATGTTCAATATTCTCCAAAAACACAAGAAGTTTAACACTCAAAGACAAAAATGTCATAACAAATTTTTCAGTGACTACTTTATTAATTTGGACACATGTAAACAAGTGTCAATTCACGAGTTTGGAGGATAGTTCTTCAACTTTTGGATGTAGGGAGTAGGGTTATGGGTTGAATCGGTTGAACCTCACTTTATAAAAGCTTATTGTATGAACTCATTTTCTATAATGGGTCTTTTCTTGTTAAAATATTAGTCAATGTCATCTTTCATGAGTAACATAGTAATTTGCTTGTAACTTTGTAATTATATACTAATAAATTGACACGTTTTAACTTTAGCACCATTTACATATATTTCTTTGATCGTATTTTGTAATTTATATATAATGCAGGTTATATTTTCAAAATATCAACTTTTATAATTTTTGCTTTTTAGTAATTAAAGATATTAACGATTGAAATTGTGCATTGATAAATGTAATTACAAAAATGTGTCTACTAAAAGCAGGGGCGGACCCACCTTTAGTCATAGTGGGTCCGGTGACACAGAATTTTTTTTTAAAATTAAAATATTAAAGAGACCCCTTATTATAGATAGGTGGTCTCTTTGATGCTGCTATTGGTAACAACAAACAATATTAAAGAGACCTCTTATTAAGATAGGCGATCTCTTTAACGCTGCTATTGCTACAAAAGACTTGTTGTGGTTTTTTTTAAATATTAAAGAGACATGTTATTTATATAAGAGGTCTCTTTGATGCTGCTATTGCATTTCGCAATTTTTTTGCGCTACTTTCTTTTTTCATTAAAGAGACCAGTTATATTTAATAACTGGTCTCTTAAGTTATCTCACTTTTTTTTGTATAATTTTTTAATAATTTTTTTTCCCTTTTTATATCTTATATTTGTACAACCAATTTTAATATTTCCCCATAAAGCTTATCAATTAACTAAAAAATCATAAAGTTAATTCAATATAATAATTTTATTGTACCATTTGTTTATAACATGTTATTTGTAATATTTTCGACTTGTAAAATTGAATTCTTAAGTACTGTATTTGGTTGTGGTATGAATTTTTGTGTCCTATTTTTGGATTGAAATCAATTTGGTGAAATATATATATATATATATATATATATATATATATAATTTTTGGATTGAAATTAATTATGAACAAGACTTGGAAAAAAAAAATTGTACTTTCACAAATGATCAATAATTGATGGTGACACACTATCTCGGAAATCCTGGATCCGCCACTGACTAAAAGGATACAAAAGAAGTATAAATTTTGCTTTTGCATGGGATAATATCTGAAAATAGAAAAAATAAAATAATAATCTAATAAAGAACCATACAAATTTAATTATTTTGGGCACTTTATGTCTTGTCTTAAAATTATCGGGTATCCAATTTTTCCTAGTTTGGTCATGGGAAATTTTTTGAGCTATCCGTTTCATGGTTAATCAAAATGTTGTATAACCACTAAGGCCCTGTTCTCAGAGCCGTCCTAACTATTATGGAGGTCCTGTGCAATTGAGATACATTTGCCTCCCTTTTTTAAGTGACGTATACTAATATTGTATTTTTATTTTATTAAATGCTCTGTTATGATTTATTTGTTGAAGAGGTTTAGAATAAAGAATATATGTAATTTTTGTAATACTATTGAAGAGATCAAAATATGTTGAAAAGCAAAAATAAAAATAAGTTATAAAAGTATTTACGGGTTATTGTAAAGAGGAGAGAGAATGATAATATTTTCTAAAAATGAAATTGAGTCAAGGGACCATTATTGGGGATAAAAATATAAATTTTGTTACAATCTTTCAAAATATAGGAATGGAATTAAAAAAAAAAAAGGAACTAAAATGAAAAGTAAAGCACAGACGAAGTATTTGAAAATCGAAAGAATATCCAAACCTTTAAATTATAAAACTAAAATTAAAATTAATTAAAAAAAATAAAGAAATAAAAACTGAAAAAAAAGTACATAATCAAGGCTCGAACCGCGTATATCAAAACTTAGTATCACCATACTTACCACTAAGCCACAACAATAACACTAGAAATTTGTACAACAATTTTGTATATAATTGTAAACTTTGAGGCCCCTAGCGATTTTAGGCCCTGTGCGGTTGCGCATGCCGCACACCCTAAGGGTCGGCCCTGCCTGTTCTGTTTATCTTAAAAAAATAATATTAAATAAAAATAATTTCAGTTCAGTAAAAATAATTTCAGTTCAGTAAAAATAAGTTCAGTTCAGTAAAATTTAATTTTCTTAAAGAAGAATTATAATTGAAAATCAGTAAAAATAATTTAAGTTCAGTAAAAATAATTTCAATTCAATAAATTTAAGTTCAGTTCAGTAAAAATAAGTTCAGTTCAGTAAAAATAATTTCAGTTCAGCAAAATTAAGGTGAATCAAACAGGGCCTAAACCCCCAAATTTGTGGTCAAGACGTTGAAGAGAGACGCGTTTCTTATTTAGGGCTTATGAGAGTGACCTTACGTGAGACACTGAGACCTTAGATATTGTAGCATAAGTCACTTGAAAATGTGTCTAATTGGTAATTTATGTGCAAAAATTTGAATTTTATCCAATTCAATTTGTTTTACACCAAAATATTATTTGATCCAAAGTATTTGTTCAAGTTGCATTTGGAGGTTTTACAACACTCGCAATATCGGAACATTTTTAGCTACAAAAGCTCTGGTTTTGGAAAAATATTAAAAAGGAAGAATTTTCATTAAGTATAGGGAATTTATTAGAAATGATGTATTATGTAAAGAATATGGGAAAATATATATGTATAATATAATTCCATATAATTTATTAGAAATGATGTATTATGTAAAGAATATGGGAAAATATATATGTATAATATAATTCCATATTAATATTTTTAAAAAACTTCGTAAAATCTTTAAGATTATTTATTCTAGCCATTTACGGTATGATATGCTTAATAATATTGATATATAATATAGGATCATATCTTATTTATAGTACTATATTCGATATTCTCTGTTAGACTCCAATTCTCCAAACGTTGAGGAAATTGAGTGAGTACAAGTGTTCACTGTTGTTGACAATTTTGCATTTATGCTGTGAATGAATTAAATTAGAGACAAAAATAACATGAAATAGTACCTTACATTCAGAATTTGAGGAAAAATTCAGAGTATTTCAGGGAATATTTTCTTACAATTTGATTACCTGAACTGGAATGATCAAAACCAAACCTCAAAAAAATGGGAAAAACATCAATTCAATATTAACAAGATACAACTCACACTTTTTTATATATATATATATATATATATATATATAATAGGGTGCTAATGAGACGACACAACTTGCAAGCTACTGAATGAGTCTACTAAGCAAATCACGGCTTCTTATCACAAACGACTTGGTCTTGAGTGTCTTGACGGCCCTAAAGCCTTGGCCATATCTCTAAGCACAAATTTCTGAATCTTCCCAGTAGAAGTCTTAGGCAATTCATCCTTAATCACAACAGTTTTAGGTACCATATAATGTGGCATTTTTGCTCTACAATAATCAATAACATCTTGTTCTGTTGGAGGATTTACCACCCCTTCTTTCAAACTCACAAAGGCACACGGCGTCTCACCCCAATACTCATCCGGCCTAGCCACCACGGCCGCCTCGTTGACCCCGGGAAAACCATAAATGACTGATTCAACCTCGACACTACTAATATTTTCACCCCCACTAATAATAATATCCTTTGATCTATCCTTAATTTCCAAATACCCATCTTGGTGCATCACTCCAACATCCCCTGTTTTAAACCATCCATCATTTCCCATACATTTGGAAGTTGCTTTAGGGTCTTTTAAGTACCCCAACATCAAAAACCCACCTCTGAGAACAATTTCTCCAACGGAATTCCCGTCTTTCGGGACCGGTTTCCCGGTATCTGGATCAATCACACCCACATCCGCAGCTCCAATAGTTTGAACCCCTTGGCGGGATTTTAGTCTTGCTCTTTCTGTCGCGGGGAATTTATTCCACTGCGGTTTCCATGCGCATGATACAACCAGTCCCCCGGTTTCCGTTAAGCCATACCCGTGGCTAACTAGGAAACCGAGGGATTCAGTACGTAATAAAATCGCCGCCGGAGGTGGAGCTCCGGCGGTGAGGATTTGGACGGGGGAGGGGAGTGGGGTGGGGTTGGGGAGGTTAGAGAGCATGTTAAGAACCACAGGAGCACCACACATGTGTGTCACGTTGTGGGCCCGAATCGTGGCAAATACAGTGGGGCCATCGAACTTCCGTAGGCAAATGTTCGTGGCCCCGACCGCTGCCATACCCCATGTGAAGCTCCAGCCGTTGGCGTGGAACATGGGTAAGGTCCACAGGTAGACTGGCTGCTTGGGTACGGACCAGTCGATAAGAGCGTCCATGGACATTATGAACGCTCCTCTGTGGCTATGGACCACGCCCTTTGGTGCCGAAGTGGTACCCGATGTATAGTTTAATACAATCGGGTCCCACTCACTTTTTGGTCTTACCCACCTAAAGTTTGGGTCACCTCTTTTGATCATCTCCTCGTAGATTGTTAAGTATTGATTACTTAAAACTTGAGATTGAATCCCGTCTTGATTATTATTTTTTAAATTTTGATCGGCTTCCTCTATTAGGATAAGGCGTGGGCGAGGGTGGGAGGGAGGGAGGAGAGCCAACGCTTGGAGGAGGACCGACGAGAGTTGATAGTCGACGAATACGAGTTTTGATTCCCCATGGTGGAGGAGCACGGAGATAGTCCTCGGGTCGAGACGGGTGTTAATGTTGTTAAGGACCGCACCACACATAGGGACAGCAAAATGGAGTTCATATGCGGCAGGTGTATTAGGGGCTAAAACAGATACAACTTGGCCTCTTTCAATTCCATAGGACAAAAGAGATGATGCAATTCGAAGACATCGATCATGGGTATCGGCCCACGTGTAGGTGGTGCCACCGTAAACAACGGAGGCACACTCGCCGTACACGGTGGCCGCTCTTTCAAGGTAGCCTAGAGGGGTAAGTGGTGGAGAATTAGCAGGTGTGGGTTTGAGATGATCCATTTGAGGAGTTTTAGACAACAAAGTCAGAAGTGTGTTTATTTTGTGAGTTTCGTTTAAAGGGGTAAATTGCAAAGTAGTGTATAACTGTATATATGAAACGATAAGGAGAACAGATGTGATTCACATGTCACTGTTTTATCATCAATTATGGATAGATTATTGTAACGATCTCCAAAGTCGTGATAATTAAATCTTTTGTAAAATTACCACGAAATTTTCATTTAACGCCAAGATGTGAGAGTTGCCGTGTTTTGCGTGTATTATAGAGTGTGATATGATGTAATTGAATAATTTAATTTTGTTTTCTATATCTTGTCTACCTAATCCCATACTTACAGAAATTCCTAATATATTTTGACCTTAAAATTTTTAGGAAAATGCTATACATAGAGCTAAGGGCTACATATAAGCATTTAATTTACTCTTGAAAATTGTTTAAATTTACACACTAATTACACCAATTTGCGCGTGTTTTTGTCATGAATTCCTAACTTTATACATTTTCCAAGAGTAAATTCAATGCTTATATATAGCCCTAAGGGCTATGTATAGCATTACCCAAATTTTTAATAAATAATCCTCGTTGTAGATTGAGAAATTGCGGATGTAATTTTCATACTCCTTTCATTTCATTTAAATACTCTTGGATGGGCTATTAATAGTCTTCACAATTTAAGAGAATTAGGATAGTGCCCGTGCGATGCAGGAATTGAATTTGATCAAATAATATTGTGTATAATTGTATATTTTTAATAGTTTTAAATTCAATACGTAACATACAAAATAATCAAGTTTGATACTACAATGCTTAATTCAATGGTACATAGGAAGTGGATAAGAAAAATAAACGAATTATGGAATGAGATAGGATGAGATGAGAGAGAGTTTAGCTTGATAGTCAAAATATTAGGAAAGATAATATTGTGAATATTGTGAAAAGATATCTTAGAATATTTTGTGATTGTCTTACGAATATTTGTGTGGTCCTTCTGTTTGTAGGATCATCAATTTGAGAAACAATTTATAATTGTGAGAGTTCACATTCATAATAGTTGGGAGTTGTGATTGAGATACTGTGCTTTGCGCATTTGTTTGTGAGGAATTGTGAGGAACTTTTCTTGACAGTGAGGTCCTATTATTTGTAAGAATAATTGTGAGATTTTATCAATTAAATCTATTGAGTGAATTCCATTACTACGTGATGGCTGGTGATAAGTATTTGGCTTAGACCACTCATGCTGATGTGGGTGGTCTTGCGGGGGTGACGTCAGTCCAAGTTCATCAATTGTTGGACTATTTGAATTCCATTAAATCCAAGCTTCATGATAAGCACCATTTGGGTTGGATAATAGATACGGGAGCTTAAAATCATATAACATGTGATCTGTCTCTTTTGACTAATCTGACCAATGTGAGCCATTGTCCGGTGGGATTGTCGGATGGTAATAATGCTAATGCACCAAAAATTGGATCAGTGATATTGCAAGGGGGTTTAAAAATTGACAATGTTCTTTATGTACCCCAATTAAATTGCAATGTAATTTGTAACTCAATTGAGTGATGAATCAAATTGTGTAATGCAATTTACTGATAAACTTTGTGTTATACAAGACCTAACAATGAGGAAGGTGATCGGAGTGAGTGAACGAGTGGATGGACTATATTATTTCTCAGGTGTTTCAGGAGTGAAGGCTTTGAAGATAGGTAGTGATCGTTTGACAGAGTTATGGCATCAACGATAGGGGCACCCTTCGAGAAAAGTTTTGCAATTTCTTCCTCATGCGAGAACTTCTAGTAGGAGTCGGAGTCTTAAATATAAATCATGTGATATATGCCATCGGGAAAAACAACATAGAAGTAGTTTTCCCAATAGCAAGAATAGAAATGGTCATATTTTTTAACTTATTCATGTTGATTTATGGGGGCCTTACAAGACTGCATCGACTTGTGGTTCTCATTATTTCTTAACTATATATTAGTAGATGATTTTTCACGAGGACTGTGGACGTATTTATTACGTATTAAAACTGAGTTGAATTGATGTTCCTTAACTTTGTTTCTTTGGTGAATTTGAGCATGGAATTAAAATTGTCCGTAGTGATAATGGCACGGAATTTAATTCCTTGCGTGACTATTTCTTTGCTAATGGGATTATATTTAAGACTTCTTGTGTGGGGACGCCTCAATAAAATGGGCGTGTTGAGCATAAATATCAACATATACTTAATGTGGCACGTGCTTTGAGATTTCAAGCAAATTTACCTCTTTGTTTTTTTGGGGGAAATGTGTGCAAGCGGCTTGTCATTTGATAAATCGTACTCCATCTAAATTACTTGAGTTTAAGACTCCACATGAGATTTTGTTTGGTAAACAACCTTCGTATGATTATATTAAGGTATTTGGGTGCTTGTGTTATGCTCAAAACCAACGAAGTAAGGGTGACAAGTTTGCTATTAGGAGTTGGAAGTGCTTTTTTAGGGTATCCTTTTGGGAAGAAAGGCTGGAGAGTGTTTGATAAAGAGACTAAGGAGCATTTTGTGTCACGTGATGTGCAATATGTTGAGAATGAATTTCCTTTTCATCCTCTAGATGTTGACAATCTACCGAGTACCACACATGTGCAAACTTCAGATGTTGTGGATAGTGATGAATTGTAATCCCCCGTATTTTTAAATATTTTATAAATAAAAATTTATTTTATTTATAATATTTATTTGTTATTTTTCATAATTTAATTTCAAAAGTTTCAAATTATTAATCTGGGTCGAAATTTATTTGAACAAATTATTTTATGCACCTTTATTCTACAATTTATGTCCAATCACACAAGTCTAACCCATTTGTTTACTTAATCAACCCATTATTTTTATGAGGCCCAATCTTCTTATTTACCCTACAATTCTCTCCTATAAAAACCCCATGAATCCCCAAAAAATTTCCCATACAAAAAGGTTAGTCTTATTTTATTTCTCCTTAGTTTTATTAATTTGTGTAATTATAATTATTGATTTATGGGTTTTGATTTTATTGTTTGAAATTAATTAATTAGTATCAAATTGTATTTTGATGATTAAACTTTATAATTTCAGATTTTATAAGTGTCATAATTTTCAGATTTTGTAAATTTTATAACCTAGGGTTTTTAATTATTGAAAATCATGATTTTAGGGTTTTTATGAACAATTGATTTAGGGCTTTTATAGTATTGATGTTTTGCAATTTTGGTGATTATAAGTACTAATTAGTTTAACTTAATTCCAGATTGTTTTGAACACTTAAATTCGTGTTTTAATTTTAAGATTTCCGTTCATTAATATTAATCCCGTTTTAATCCCGATCAGGTTCTGAACTCATCCGATTTTGACAAAAAAGTAATGTTTTCCACGTGGAAACAATGTTTTAAGAAAATTGATGTATGATTTTTATGTATGGTGTATTGGATTGAGTCGGCTATTAAAATTATAATCACGTAAAGTGAAACATGGATGAGCAATAAAACTCTAGAAAGCGTGCACTTTTAGAGTATTGACAATTATGGGTTGGGGTACACGGTGGTAGCCCGTGGCTTTCCGAGGCTTGTTTGATCAACATGTCTTCTTTTCTTTTGGTATTTACATTTTATTTTATAATGAAAGTTAGATGAGATCCTAGACTAACTTTGTGAGGATGGAGTCGCGCCCATTCTTGCATCGCGTTAAATTTTTATTTTAAATGGTCATTTGGGACCAAAATGATTTGATGGATTGGACAACCTCATCTATTGCTTACTCCAATCTAAATTAATTAAATTAAATATAAAGAGTCGAGTGTTTAGAATTGGTTAGATAGTATGTTGAGTCAATTGAATTGTTTAAGTGTGGAGTCTTGATTAATGAATTCAAGTTGTATGTTTATTTACTTTAATTAGTTGAGCATGTCAGGTTTTGTGCGTTGTAGCTTGTATGTACTCAGCTTTGCTGATTGCGTGCTTTTGTGTGTTTTCTTTTGGTCATGGCCTTCGCCTTTCAATGACCCTTTGATGATCCAATTATTACACTTGTATTATTGGGGAGCATTATTGCACAGGTTAGCTTGATGATGTGAAGTTCGGTGATTTGACATACGCATTGTCAAGGGATTGGTGTGATTGAGAGTATTCGTTCTTTGTGTTGAACTTATTTATGTTTTACTACTTGAATTATGTTTTGGGACTTTGATTATTGGTTTGGTTTTAAATAAGGGCCTGTATGGTTCCAATTTGTAAGCTTTGACTTATTGGTTTTCTAAATTATATTATTTTAAGGGAAATTTTGAGTTTTACCACCAAAAAATTTCAACAAATTGTTTTTTACCACCTACTATTTTCAATCTTTTATTTTACCACCAAATAAAAAAATTAAAGTTTTTTTTTTACCACCTTTACCCAATTCCGGTGACTGAAAAGTGTTGTGGGGCCCACCCTTTTTAATTTCCCTCCAATTTTATTTACACCCACCCCGATTTATCAACAGAAGAAATAAATCGGGATAAGGTGGTGGTCTGGGTGTTCGGTCAGAGGAGAGAGAGAAGGTGGCTTTTTTTTAATTTTATTTTATTTAAGTAATTAAATAATATTAATAAGAACCAATTACAAGCTGCCACGTGGCACAATTAACCTTAATTACTAACGGCGTTAACGACAGTTACCAAAAATGGCATTCTGTGTTAATTTACATTAACTCAGTGCTATATGGTGAATTAGAAAATTTTGTGTGGTATATGGTGAATTTTTGCAATAACTCAGTGGTATTTGGTGAAAAATCTGTTGATTTTTTTTAACCGATGCAAGTTAATTTGAATATTTTTTTTTAAAAAATAAATTAAAAAAATCCCTATGCAACCGCCAAAAACGATCGTAAATTGCGACCGTTTAAGAAACGGTCGCAAAGGCTTTTTTTTTTAAAAAAAAAAACCGTGTACAATAAGAACCTAATTCACCCTAACCCTCACGCCGCTCACTCTTCTTTCTCGGCCTTCTCTCCTCCCTTCTCCTTCCTTATTCTTTCTTCTCTCTCCTCCCTTGTCCTTCCTCTTTCCTCATCCTCCATCTATACTGGCGTCTGCAATTCTTTCCTCCGATCCGCCACCATATCCACTGCCCCTCCTCCTTCCTCTTTCTTTTTTTTTCCTCGGATTATGGCGTTCAAATTCGACCATAAAACGTCTCCCTCAAGATGCTTAGGTGGTGTTGTTAAGTCCGAAAACGTTTCCCTCAAGATGCTTTGGTGGTGGTGTTAACTAGTTCATGGTTTTTAAAGTCAAATTCAACCCTGAAAAC